AGGGCAAGATATTCCAAAGTGCAGGGGCTACCGCAGAGAAGGCCCGTCTTCTGAACCCCACTAGTCGGAGTTCTTTTGCTGAAGGGGTTTGGAGCATGCCCTCTCTGTATGATCGGGTGGGACGGGATGAACTCGTGGGGGAGAGGCGGTCACTCAGGTAACCGGTCCCATGCCATGTAGGGCTTTAAAGGTGATAACCAGCACCTTCAATTGGACCCGGAAGCAAACTGGCACCCAATGCAGCTCGCGAAGCAGTGGTGTTATATGGGTCCTTCTTCGGGCCACAAAAATAGCTCGTGCGGCTGCATTCTGGACCAGCTGAAGTTTCCGGATGCTCTTCAAGGGTAGCCCCATGTAGAGTGTATTGCAGTAGTCTATTTACTGTATTTACTGTAAACCTCCCAGAGTAACTTCCTAGCGAGATGGGCAGTGACCAAATTTGAAATATAAATAAATAAAAATAAATTTACTAGTACTTCTTTATATGCCAAATTATATATTGTTGATCTTTTTGCTATAAGCTGCTTAGATTCATACTGACTAAATGACATAAAAGCATCACAAATAAATAATGCTGGACACCATTTGTGTACCTCTGTCAAGCCTTTGAGGTAGACCAGGTCAGGAAACAGCCACCACAAGAAATACTAGAACTCTACTTTATTGACATAGTGTCAGCCCTTCAAAGTAGATGAGACTAGGAAACCAATCTCATATATGTCAGTACTGTCTTTATGGTAAAGCTATAGTAACAGAATTTTGCCAGTCTGCAATTCCCCCCTGCTCCCCTTTATCCTTGTGTGAACTAGGGAGAGGCTTATCTAAGTCATTTACTCATGTTAAATTCTTGCCCTGGACTCAGGCCCCTTTTATCTGATTTTTGCCTTTGTAGCAGCTCTTCTTCTTGTCCTTCAAGGCCATTCCCTCTTTCCTCTACACATAGGCTGTAATAACAGAATCTTGAAGGCCTTACAGAGTTTCTATTTCCCTCCTTCTTATACCTAAGAGAGTCAAGGCAGGCCAATCTTGAATTTCTTCCTCCCCGCTTCTTGTAATTTCAAGCTAAACTGATGATTTTGTAATAGCTGCTGCATACATTCAGGGCTACTTCCATACTCCTCTACAATCCCCTTCATTTATTTTAACACCCAGTTTAAAACTGCCTTACACTATTGACTTACTGATTGCAACTGTGGGTTTTTGGCTTATTCTGGGCTTGTTTTGATGCCGTGCCCAAGCCTATTTCCCATTTACAAAGATACAAAGCAAGAAGATTAAAAAAAAAAAAAGGGGAGAGGGAAAAAAAAAAAGAATCATCCAAGTAAACTCCTTTGCTTGCTTTGGTCATCTGTGATACTGACTTTGTCTTGTTTTAAAAACTGTGGTTGAAATAATCCATGGCTTAGTATGATGTGTGAACATAGCCAGTGTATTCTACTCATAGATATCCTTTTGATATATAATTGTCTGCAGATGTAGTGGGGTTGAGCATTTCATCCTGGAAATTATTCAGAACCTTCCAGATATGGAGATGGTCATCAATGTGCGAGACTACCCCCAGGTGCCCAAATTTATGAAACCAAGAGTCCCTGTTTTATCTTTCAGCAAGGTGAGAGAGCAGGGAGCTATCATCCATTAATCATATTAGATGGGAACAAATACAATGTTTCATTGAATCTCGTGCATGAATGAAACATTTTGGTATAACTAACATGCTTTGCTCTCCTTTTTCTCTCAAAGACTTCAGAATACTATGATATTATGTACCCTGCCTGGACATTTTGGGAAGGGGGACCAGCTGTTTGGCCAATTTATCCTACTGGCCTTGGGCGTTGGGATCTAATGAGAGAAAGCCTCCAAAGGTATATCTGAAGACTGAATAGTTTTGTTGTTGTTTTTTAAGTAAAGGAGACCCCAAATTTGCATTGTAATAGGGGCATGTGCACCCAGCTCTTCATTCTGAAGCGTTTTCATCGAGGAATAACTTGTACTTGATTGAATGAAAGCTGCATGCATATAGTTAAGAATGTATAATTCAAAAATCATGCATTTAGTTCAGGTTTATTTAAGTTGATATAATTGTGATTCAGATTGACTGAAATCCCTACAGAAGTTAGTACATGGGAGAAAAAAAGCAAACATTAGAAGTCAGTAGGTCATACAAATGCAAACATTTTAAGATGAAGATCTGTTTTCTTTGGTGGATGGCATTTCCTTGGTAGATGCTGTTGGGAATTGGATTCCAGGACTGAATGCAACAACCTCTTTTTCTGTTTTTTGCCATCCTGTTTAGTCTCCATCCAATGAGCTGCAAGTAAACAGACAAAGCACTGCCAGAAGTACAATGGTGCTTAAAAGTTTATGAACTCTTTTGAATTTTCAATATTTCTGCATAAATATGACCTAAAACTTGATTTGTTTAAACAAACTAGTTCAAGAAAGTCCAATTAAGTAAATGAATCAAAAACATTATGCTTGTTCATTTATTTATTGAGTACTTTTAATGTCAGTATTTTAATACTGTGTATTAATCAAAATATTCTTAGTTCGGCAGAAAAATGGCCGTGGAAGAAGAAAATTTCAAAAGCCTATTTTCGAGGATCCAGGTGAATATTTTTTTTTTCTTTCAAGTACTTTGATATTATGACAGTCATAATCTTGTAAATCATGGTTCTATTGTACTGTGTTGCCCAGGAAGATTGAATTGGTCCAATTGAAATATATGCATTTCATGGCAAAGCACTGCTATCTTCAGAAATGCTTATCAACTTGTAGTACATACTACCATCATGCCTAGTTTATAGCTGTAGAATAGCTTTAGAAGCAGCCAGTGAAGTGCACAAGAATTTTCTCCTAAATCAATGACTTTTTAAAATGTTCTCATGTTGCTTTACATATTTTGTTACTTAGCAAATACTAATCCACTATTGCCTTTAAAAAAGGGAGGAGCTGTAGTAGTAGAAGCAATCATATTTATTTATTTATTATATGCTGTTACTAAGGCATGTGAGAAAAATACAATAATAACAAAATTCCATCCAATAGAATTGGCTTACAACTTAGCAGTCAAGCCAGTAAACAAATATTAACAGGGCAAACCAAACATTGCAGCCATGCATATATTTTTTAAATGCCCTGTGATGCCACTGAGCAGCACATCCATAATTAAAATAAAACAAGTATTAATATAGGACCTGCCAAGACTAATGACCGTAGGTGGGCACCAAGCTTTACAAAATACTAGTCAAATAAAAGGTTGTTGAACCCTCTTTTAAAGGCCATCAAACATTCACAGAGACTAAAGGAAGGTTGGTATGGATTCCAAAGTTGTGAGGCCAAGTCCCTGAAAGGTCCAAATCTGGAGACTGCTACCTTAGAATGAGGAACAGAAAGAAAGCCCTGCTCAGAGTAACAAAAGTAGCTAATAGGATTGTTGGGAGAAGTAAGGGCAGATAGATACTAGGGAGTTTAATGAATCTTGTGTTCAGAGCTCTGTTCACACTTCAAACTGCAGTCCAGTTTACATATGAAAGTCATTGAAGAATCCTGTCCTGTAATGAAGCATGAGAATAGTGTGTAGGGCCCAGAACAGCCTTACACACTATTGGATAGTTATATCCAATAACTAGTTACAGTAATGTGAAAAAGAAAGTACACCCTCTTTGAGTTCTATGGTTTTACGTATCAGGACATAATAAAAATCACATATTACACCATGTCATGATTTATTGTACAAAAAGAAAGCCAAAATGGAGAACCCATGTGTGGAAAAACTAAGTACACCCTTACTGCTTCCATAGGTATGAAGAGGCTAAGTAGCAGCCAGATATGGATCAGGGTTCTAGAGGGATCTGGAACATCTGCCAAAAGACACTTGTGATCTAGGTGTGTGAAACAACCAAAGCATGTTCCAGTGTAATTCTAAATTTCAGTACTACTTCTGTGTTCGGGTAGTTTTGCTGCAGAGCTTCACTCCAAATATTGAAAACAGTGTGGGCCTTGACAAGAGGGGAGAAGTAAGAGGGAAGTCATGTGCTGGAATACTGGTAGGCTTCCTTGTGCAGTTGGTTGGCCACTGTGAGAACAGACTGCTGGACGAGATGGGCCAGGAGTCCAATCCAGCAGGGCACTGCTTATGTTCTTCAGTACTTCCCATCCCTACTCTGTTTTAGTCTATCCAAACATAACTTGCGCATTTTCTTTATAGCAAAAAGGCTTGTGCAAAAATTCTGCTTGGAGTATGTGATGAATACAGATTATTATCTCCTACATGCTCTACAGAAACTTCACACAGTTAAGATTCCTCCTGTTGTTATTATATGATTTTGGGGATTTCACGGTCCTTTAAGGGAAAAGTGTCATTTTCAAATAAGTTTTTGGCTAGATGCTTCCAAGTTCCTCAGGGTTTTGTCTGTCCTTGTTGGGTCACAAAACACAGCAGAACATTCTGATCTCTCCAAGCAGAGCCCTACAAAACCAATGGATGATAGTTCCTATAATCACTTGCTCACTTTAGAATTACATGATTTATTGTCCAACATATTTGAAGAGTGCTAGACTGGGGAAAGCCATTCTAATTTCTGTGTGATTTCTCTGGTAGGACAAGTTCAGAGCGGGATCCCCTCATTCTTCTTTCCCGAGAGAATCCAAATCTTGTTGATGCAGAGTACACTAAGAACCAAGCTTGGAAATCTGAAAAAGTAAATACTATTCAAATCATTTTTTTTCCTTTCTCTTGCCAGAGACGATACGATATTCCCACAGTGAAGTCAGATGAAGATTCTAATATTGACAATCATTAGTACATTTTAGGATTTTCTATTTCAAAGGAAAGAATATATTTTAAAAAGGTAGAAAATTATCTCTTACTTTATTGTACTTGATCCACTTAGAACCAAAGACTGGTAGAACTGCCACTGGACTTGTAAGAGTTATTTTAATATGTGGTATACAACTGATTTTATATTTAAATATGAAAGCTCAGCATTATGTATGTTACATGTGTAGCAGGGTGCATGGTTTTTTTATAATTGTTTTTTGTTCTGCTGTTAGTTGATGTTTTGTTACGTTAGTACTATTTTAATCTTACCCAACAAAGGGAATGTAAGCTGCTCAGAGTCCCTGTGGATTGGAGTGGTATATAAGCTCCAGTAAATGAATAAGTAAATCAATAAATAGTTTTACTTCTTCCAGTTTTATTATTCTAGCAGCCACTGTAAGGTTGGCTAAGCTGAGAGATGATGGTGATTGGGCCAGGGGGTTTAGTGAGCTTTGTGGTATAGTGGGAATTTGAATCTCTGTGACCTTAGTCTAGCCAACACATCTAACAACTATACCATGCAAGCCCAAGTGCCATTTTGGATTTCATCAGTCCAGCATACACCTGGTCAGTGTGCTCCAGTTGCACGTGGACTGATCTCAAATCATACTTGCAATATGTAACTCTCAGAACAGACATTTTCAAATTAGCTTCACTGTGAATGTGACAAGGGGTTTACATTGTTGTAAGAAATAGCTATGAGCATAGTGCATTCATGCAGTGTAGGCATAGGTTGGCCCTAATAGGATCATGTCAAATAGATTGATTCTACTTCTCTTTTTATCATCTCTTGCTGATTGAGCTTTAGTTTTGTTTTTTTTCCCCCAACATCAGGATGGTTGATTTGGCACAACAGGAGGTAAATTAAATAACAATGATTACCCCTCCGATTTGTGCAAACCAGAACTTGTTTTCCTAGTGTCTTTTATTGAGCATGCTTATTCCATAGCCATGAGTTTAGTTTCTAATTATGGTAGTGCCTATTATGTAGATGGAATAATGTAATACAAGCCCAGCAATCTTTTCAGGTCCCAGGTACTGCCATGTGATCTCATGCAGTGATGTGGTTCCCTCTTCCAGCCCACAAAAATTACTTTAAATCTAACAAGGTTTTGGTGGTCTTGCCTCACAGTTTCCAGTCTTTGAAATGTATTTTTGCAGACAGAACTGATAGGAAGTTTGGGGGTGGGAAGAGGGAGAGATGAATACTAGGTACTAAATTCACTGGCACCTGCTATTGTTGTGTATTAATCCTTGATATAATATATGCAGAACATTTGGAACTGTTGTATGTACTCTCATATAAGCCCATCTATGTATAAGCCACCCCTCAAATTTTTAACCAAAATACCATGAAAAATGCACCACCCGCGGATGACCCAATCCACATTTTTCATGGTAGTTTGGTTAAAAATTCAAGGGTCTGCTTATCCATGGATGGGCCTATACACAAGTATATATGGGAAATACGGGTATTTTTAAAAGTCTTACTGTATATAATCATGGATAAGCCCATCCGCAATAAGGCAAAGCTGTTTTTTGGGGTGCATTTTGGCACCTAAAATTCTTGGCTTATTTGCAAGTATGTACAGTATTCTAATGAGTTGGGATTGGATTTCATAGTATAAAACAGAAATGACCAGTATTGGAACTACCATTTAGGTGAAGATGAGTTCTGCGTAGTTTAAAAACCTTAAGGGCTTATAACTATTTCTGCATTCTGAAATATTCTGCATTGAAAATAACAGTTCACAGCTGCAGTTATTTATACAGAAAGTGATGAGAGGACTTGGGGCATGTCTGACCAGCTGCTCAGAGTCTACAGAAATGGATTAGCATATAAATTGAATAAATAAACAACCTATATTAAATATGGCATTTCTAATCAGTGCAAGACAGGAAAATGGATTAAGGAAAACCACAGCATGTTGCATATGTGAAATAAAAACTACACTACACAGGGTTTGTGTCTGTGAATTAATGTTTGCTTGGAAGAAAAAAATCAATGAATCTTCTAAGAAAGCGTGTGTAAGGCTGAACTCTGAGAAAATTAATGAATTGAATATTTAGCTAGTTAGTTCTTAGATTCTCAGGTTTGTAGTAAGAACTTTAATTATATATCCTACTGAAAAGAAATTAGGAAAATATGCACTTTTTTGTATAGCATTTCTATTATAGTTATTAGGTGATTTGAAATAGACTTTTTTTTTTAAAAAAAAAACACCTTTTTTTAAAGGATACTCTTGGGAGACCACCTGCAACAGAAGTTCCACTGGTAGACCATTGTAAATTCAAGTAAGTATTTGATTTCGTCTAGGTAAATATCTGAATGCATGTCAGTTCAGTGCAAATATCTGAGAGCAAGTGTCATGGAATTCACTGGGGAACATGTCAGCACTAGCCTTAAAATCATGCTATCTATCCTTTACATTGAAATTGATAGGCCATGATTCCTACCCATTCACCATTAGCTGCTAGTGCTATTTTAATTCTTTCCCTTAGGTTGAGCTTCATGGTGAAAGCTGGACAATTATTTGTATCCTGAATTTTTTCATAAGTAAGAACATATAAATGTTCTTGGTACTGTGCAAATTTAACTTTTCTAAATAATCCTACTTCTTTGTATGGAACTGTAGTGCTGTGAATTGTTTGTCCCTGCCATCCCTGATTTACAGCTCTGTTATTTACTGTAATTCAAGGAACGCATTCCAGGAATCTCTAAGACTCTCTGCATCCCCTGTGTGCTGTTCAGCAGTAATAAGTAACTGATCTGATTAGACTCCTTAAGATATCTGTAGTTGCTCTGATGCACAGAACCAAAGATACTCAGTCATGTCAAGTCCCTGGAGCTGTGCAGCAAGGATTTTCAGTGTCGTATTTAGATGATGGTGATGATGATGATGATGATGATGATGATGATGATGATGATGGTACTGAGAGGCTGGCATTTTAAAGGACTTGGTCTTTTGGAAAGATCTCTTTGGCTAAGA